CTCAGACTGGGCACCAGGTGGTCCCCTCCCTGTCTTCCTGCTCGGGTTCTGGTCCCCCATGAGCTCCCCATCAAGGCCGAGCCTCGGCGGGAGACAGCCGCTGAAGGAGAGGGATTTCCAAGCAGGATTAAGGTCCAGGATTAAGTCGGGGCATGAAAAGGGGTCGGGTGGGGAGGGCTGGCGGCCAGGCTAATCCCAGCAGCTAATCTCTGGCTCCTCCTTCCTCTATCAGTTAACAGCCTTGACGTTCCCCCACCGCCCCCCAGTGCCTTTCTTACCCATCTCCCAGTCCCAAGGGGGATGCAGTCCCTCCATTTTACGGGTGAGACCACTGAGACTCAGTGTCCAAGTAATTTGTTTCTGGTACAGTAGAAAGTGCTCTAGCCTGGGAACACCGCCAGTTTGGACACGTCTAACCTCCTCGGGACTTAGGAGAGGGCTCAGAAAGCCACCGTCCACATTGCTGGTCCCAGACACCCCACACCCACCCCCAGTGCTGAGTGAACCCTGCTCACAGCTGTCGCAGAAGCCTCTGCTCTTGTGACTCCTAGTGGACAGCGCAGCCCACCCTCCCAGAGTCTTGCTACCTTCACTTCCACCCACCTTTCAAGACCGCCTGTGGCTGCTCCGGCTCCCTCTCCAGCTGCTCCAACCAGGCTCTAGCCAGTGAGGGCTCTGCTTCCTGGACATGAGTGTCTCTTGTTTGAAGTAACCTTTCAATTTGAACCCAACCTTCAAGGCCCAGTCCACAGGAGGTGGACTCCTCTCCCAGGACGTCAGGGAGGAGGCTCCCTCTCTCTGGATTCCCACAGGCCTCCGAGTTCATTCATTCTTTCAATGTACCAGGGAAAGGGAAGAATACTTGTGGAGACACTGGCACCCAACTCATTTTAATTCTCATTAACTCTGGGGATTGGGCTTGGTATCCCCTTTGTACAGATGGGGAAGCTGAGGCTCAGAAGGGTTATAGATGCTGGCCAGGCTTACACAGCTGGTGAGTCGCACACAGAAAACCGGTCAGTGTGACACTTGAAACTTGTGGTCCACGCTGTCTCCCTGCTCTGGAAGTTTGTCGAGCTTGGCTTTGGGATCCCCACGTAAGGGCAGGGGACCTGAAAGAAAGTGGAGCTCCTCTCTAACCCCTCTCCCACTGCCCCCGCAGAGCCGGCCAGGCCACAGTGTGGACGTGTTCCCAGGCGGCCTCAGCCCCAGCCCCGCCTGACAGGATGAGCGGCTCAGATGCGGGGCTGGAGGAGGAGCCGGAGCTCAGCATCACCCTCACACTGCGCATGCTGATGCATGGGAAGGTGAGGCGGCAAGGCAGGGTGGGCGTGTGAGGGGTGAGGGGGCTTCCCTGTGGCTCAGGAGGGGGCAAAGGGGAAGGTGAGGCAAGACCTGGCCGGCTTGTGGAGGGGAATTTGATCTTGGGTATCCCGTCTCCTGTGGAGCCCAACCCACCCCACCCGCAGTGGGGGAAAGGGCGGTGCCTGGGGTATGGGTATGCTGCTGACTTCACTCTTGTCTGGCTTGCAGGAGGTGGGCAGCATAATTGGGAAGGTAGGTGCCTTGTTCTATTCTGTGTGTCCCCTTCAACCTGAGACCTCAGCCTGGGAAAGGAAGCAACGACCACTTGGCCTAAGAGGCATCCTCTGTTTTGTCTCCTGCAGAAAGGAGAGACTGTAAAGCGAATCCGGGAACAGGTGAGGATGGAGTTTGGGAGGGCAGCCCAGGGTACCTGGTTTGGAGGGGAGGGGAGATGCCCCACCCTGTCCCTGAATCCACCATCTAGGATCACCAGTCAGTGCCCCTAGAAGGTGGCCACTTCCAGCCTTGGCTGGGGCCTGGTGAGTGGGGGGCAGGCAGCTTCCTGGCCAGGAAGCAGAGAAGGAGCCCCACTGCCCGGCGCTTGTCCTATACCCGCAGAGCAGTGCCCGGATCACCATCTCTGAGGGCTCCTGCCCTGAGCGCATCACCACCATCACTGGGTCTACAGCAGCAGTCTTCCACGCAGTCTCCATGATCGCCTTCAAGCTGGATGAGGTCTGTGGCTGGCTGGAGGGAGGCCAAGGGTGGTCCCCTAGGAGGAACGGGACTCTGATCCACAGAGTGACTACGGGTGGGATGGAACACCAAGTGGGATGTGGGTGGGCTTCCCTCCTTCGCCCCCCAGTAGGAAGGTGCCCCAGGGGAGGGGGAGCAGCAGAGGCAGTCACGGCCAACCGAGTCTTCCTGGCCAGGATCTCTGCGCTGCTCCTGCAAACGGAGGGAGTGTCTCCAGGCCTCCAGTGACCCTGCGCCTTGTCATCCCTGCAAGCCAGTGTGGCTCGCTGATTGGGAAGGCAGGCACCAAGATCAAGGAGATCAGAGAGGTGAGGGGAGGGGGGTCTCGAGGGGAGAGCTGGGCTTACGGCTTCCTAGCCCCTGGGGAGCTATGAGCCGGGGCGCTCTGCTCTGGGTTATGGGAGTAGCCAGAAGTGGCCCCCATTCTTTGCCCACAGACTACAGGTGCCCAGGTGCAGGTGGCAGGAGACCTGCTCCCCAACTCCACAGAGCGTGCTGTCACCGTGTCCGGGGTGCCTGATGCCATCATCCTGTGTGTGCGCCAGATCTGTGCTGTCATCCTGGAGGTGGGCCCGGGGACAGGGAGGGAGGGCAGGGGCTGTACCCTGGGGCTGCCTCGTCAGGCCCCCAAGCCTATGCCTGTGGCACCAGGTGGGGGTAGGGTGGGGCCGCGGGGTTGGATGTGAGAAGCTCAAGGACATCTGTGTTTACCTGGGGCTTGTGGGGAGGGCCTTGGGGACACAGGGCCCTTGGGGAGGGAAGGGGGGCCTGAGAAGGCCCTAACTGAGCCTCCCCACGTGTGCCTCCCAGTCCCCACCCAAAGGAGCCACCATCCCGTACCATCCGAGCCTCTCCTTAGGCACCGTGCTCCTCTCCACCAACCAGGTGAGGGGGACGGCAGGAGGGGTGGGACATGTTACTGGAGAAGCAGGGGAGGCGGAGGAAGGAATGGGGGGTCCAGGGAGAGGTGGGGGGGGCTGGCCACACTGCCCTATCACAATGACCCCCTTTGACCCGCTCTGTCCTCACAGGGATTCTCTGTCCAGGGTCAGTATGGCGCTGTGACTCCAGCTGAGGTGAGTGCCCAAAGCCCACCGCACCCCTTCTGGAACAGAGCCCCTTCTGACTCCTGACCCGTCTTCTTGGCACAGGTCACCAAGCTCCAGCAGCTCTCGGGCCATGCAGTCCCCTTCGCCTCACCCAGCATGGTGCCAGGTGAGCGGTCCCTGCAGAAGGAAGCAGGGGCAGATCCCAGGGGGCCAGGCAGCTCCCTCTGGAAAGGACGAAGGGAGGCAGGAAGAACCCAGACTCATGCCCAGTCCCTCTTCTCCCCGCCCGCAGGACTGGACCCTAGCACACAGACCAGCTCACAGGAGTTCTTGGTTCCCAACGACGTGAGCATGGGATGGGGTGGTTTGAGGGGGAGGGGAGGGGGGCTCGGGGGGGTCTGGGCCTCACCTAGGGTCGAATTCCACCCTCTCCCCAGCTGATCGGCTGCGTGATCGGGCGCCAGGGCAGCAAGATCAGTGAGATCCGGCAGATGTCAGGGGCACATATCAAGATCGGGAACCAAGCCGAGGGCGCTGGTGAGCGGCACGTGACCATCACTGGTTCACCCGTCTCCATCGCCCTGGCCCAGTACCTCATCACTGCCTGGTGAGTGTGGGATGGGGGGGTGTCACAGGTCATGGGGCTTCTGTGCCTGAGAAAGGCACCGGTCGGGTGGAGAGAGCGGACCTCCCTTCTCCCGGGCCTGTCCTCTGCCTCCCTAACCCTGCCACACTCATCCACGTTGCCCCATCTTCCCCCTGCGTCTGTCCCTCGTGTCCTCAGTCCATCCCTGTCTCTCCTCCCTGGGACTCCAGTCTCCCCATTTCCCCCCTTACCCTATGCTGGATCTGCTTGTCCTTGTCCTTATCTGCTTGTATCCCGACCCCACCCTTCCGACCTGTCCCATCTTTTCCCCAAGCACGCCCACCCATGTCATTGTTCTCAATTCCTGCTTTTCATCTAATCTCATCCCTTATATTTGCCCTCATTGCCCCCTTTCTCACCCTCCCCCACCTTCCCTTCATCTACCCCCTCTATCCCTCTTTCCAGTCTAGAAACGGCCAAGTCTACCTCTGGGGGGACACCCGGCTCGGCCCCCACAGACCTGCCTGCCCCTTTCTCGCCACCCCTGACGGCCCTGCCCACCGCTCCCCCAGGCCTGCTGGGCACGCCCTATGCCATCTCCCTCTCCAACTTCATCGGCCTCAAGCCCGTACCCTTCTTGGCTCTACCACCTGCCTCCCCAGGGCCACCGCCGGGCTTGGCGGCCTACACTGCCAAGATGGCAGCGGCCAATGGGAGCAAGAAAGCTGAGCGGCAGAAATTCTCCCCCTACTGAGGCTGGCTGAGGCACAGGTGCGGGGGCAGGCAGGACCGCCGGCAGGGGGCTGCCTCTGCTACCTGCCCAAGGACTCCACCCCGGGAGGGGGCCCCAAACGCCGCTAATGCCCAGACGCATGGATGCACCCCCCCACCCTGCCCCGGTCTGTGGGAGCTCCTGCTCTCGGAGTGGGGGTGGTTTCCGGCCCAGGGTTTTGGGAGCTGTGGCAGCCCCAGGGTAGGGGGCTCGACCCCCTCTAGCTCTGTGCTTGGATGCAGGGAGCATCCTAAGTGCCCCCACTTTGGGGGGGTCACTCATGCACTCCCCATCCCTCAGGGCTTCCCTTCCACTGTCCCCCGCGTGGGGATCCCGGAGGAGGCCTAGGGGTGGCTGGGGGCCTTGCTTCTCTCCCCACCTCCCTGCAGATTCCTGCTGCTTCCACTGATACCCTTTTGACTGGAACGGACTGGCTGGGCATGGCAGAGGGCAGCCCGAAGAGGGGGCACTGCCAGGCAGCTGGGGGAGTGGCATGGGGGCAGGGGCCGAGTTATCAGCAGCAGATACTCTGTACAGTTTTTTCAATTCCTGTTTTTGAATAAATATTCTCAGAGACCAGGAAGCTGTGAAACATTGTGGGTGTTGGCAAAACCTACAGAAAATGAGTGCAGCCGAGGTCCCAGAGGACCCCCATCTATATGACTCCATCAGCCCCAGCTGGGCTTCAGCCCCTTTCCACATGCCAATTCTGGCTCTTTGGGGGTCATGTTGTCCAGCCTCCTGTCTCTGGCACCAAATGATCCAGGTTTTTTTTTTTTTTTTCTGGGCATTTTTAGAAGCTGATGGAGGAGTCTCAGTAGTTCTGTCCAGCCTCTTCTTGGTGCACATGTCGCAGAGGTCTTTCCGAATGTCCCTCCACTGGTTCTTCCTGCTGTGGCTGTAACCCAGACCCGCCCTGCTTGGCCCACCCCCTCTGGCTGTGAGCCCTTAGGGCGTCTTCTCTGTGATCCTGCCCACCTCCGCTTCTTCCCTGGCCTGGGGACCGTCTGTGAGTGTCCAGATCACTCAAGCTGGAGGAGCCCTTAGACACAGTCCGGGGTACAGATGGGAAACCTGAGGCCCAGGGAAGGGCAGGTGTGTGTACACGGCCATGCAGAGTTGGGCCCGGAACTCAGGATTCCTCGCAGAAGAATCTGGGCCTCACCAGGCTACAGGCCCCCTTTCTCCCATTCCAGGGTCAGAAGTCCAGGCAGGGCACCTGCCACAAGCTGTGCTGGAGGCTGGACAGGCCCTTCCCCATACCACCCTGCTCTCTCCAGTCCCGGCTCACCTGGGAGACATCTCTCACGTGGCCTCTGACAGGCTCAGGCTCTCCCTTCCTGTCAAATCCCGGCCTTGTTCAGGTGCCTCCGAAGGGCCAAGGGCAGGGCCCTCTGGCGGTCTCCGGAGGCGCTGCAGGAGGGCCCGCGGGTGCCAGGCCCGCGAAGTGCAGGCTCGCGGGGACCGCGGTAGCGCTCGGCGGGCAAGGCGGCCCAGCGTCCGGCGTACAGGGCGCTGCAGCAGGCCGTACAAGAAGGGGTGAGCCGCGAAGGCCGAGTAGGCTATCCAGGTGACGGCCGCCTCGGCCGCTGCGGCCTGGGCAGCAGGCGCCAAGCACGCACAGCCATAAGGCAGCCAGCAGGCTGCGAACTGGCCCACGGCCAGCGCCGGAGCCAGGGCTGCTTTGCCCCAGGGCGGGCGAGGCCGGAGGGGCGGCAAGATGGAGAGGCGACTGTCCAGAGAGTCGGAGCGCGGCCGGGACCCGCGTGCGGGTCGTGGGGGCCGCAGGGCGGCCCGGCGCGCCACGAGGAAGATGCTGCCGTAGGCGCCGAGCAGCAGGAGGGCGGGCAGCGCGAAGGCCAGCAGTGCCCAGAGCGGCCGGAAGGGCCCGAGGCCCCCGGCCAGGACCGAGCAGCGAGCCGGGGCCGGGGGCGGTGCGGGCGGCGGCCCGAGCAAAGAGAGCGCGCCCAGAAGCCCGGCCGCCGCCCACACGGCCGTGAGCACGAGGGTGGGCGGAGGCCGCGCTCCGGGCCGCAGGGGATGAACTATGAGGCGGTAGCGCGCCAGGCCGAGCGCCGCCACGCCGAGCGTGCAGGCGGGCAGCAGCGCCGCCGAGAGGAAGCGCGCCGCGCGGCAGGGTGCGGGGCCCAGGCGCAGGCGGCCCAGCCCCGGCGGCGGAGCGGCCAGCAGGCCCAGCGGCATGATGGAGGCGGCCGCCAGCAGGTCCACGACGCACAGGTGCACGAGGTAGAGAGCGTCGCGCAGTCCCGGCGTGCGCAACACCACCACCAGCAGCGCGCCGTTGCCCAGCAGTGCCGCCGCTTCCACGAGAGCCGCCAGGATCAACCCCATCGAGGCTGCGACTTCTGGGGCGCTCAGCCCTGTGGCGTTGGCCATTCGAGTGCTCAGGCTTCGCCCTGTCCTGGGAGGCAGAGAGAGAGATGGAGCTTTCCCCTCCCCGCCCCCCAATACCCTCATTCCCTTCACCCACCATCCATCCCTTGCTCCTCTGGCCTCTCACCTCACAGGCTGCCCAGGCGCTGGCTCAGACGCCCGGGCTGCCATCCTTCTGGGGGTTTGGCTGGCCCCATGGAAGGGTGCAAGCCAGGGACTGTGGCTGTCTCCTCCACACCAGCGACTCAGCCCCTGCTGGAGATGGTACCGGCTGTCACTCTGATGCTGCCCTTTGGAGACACACAGAGCTGGCAAGGGAGGGGCAGGGCCTGGCACTGGCCCCCTGGGTCCTAGCAGCTGCCAGCTGGAGGCTGGAGGCTGTGCTGTGGAAATGCTGGGGGTGCCTGGGGAGGGGGGCCCAGAGCAGCCATAGGCTGGAATGCAGACTGAGGACGTTAGAGTGTAGGCTTTGGAGTCAGCCAGGTCCTATTCTGCCTTTTCCAGGCAGAAAATCTGCTCTCTTGTGCCATCCCCCTCAATGAGGGTAGCTGGATCATTCAGCCTTGGTATTGAGGGGAAACTGAGGTACCAGGGACACAAGAACTGGAGCTGGGAGACCCCTAAGTACACTCTGGTCCTCAGGAGGGTTAGTTCTCTAGGTAAAGTGATGGGGGAAGCAGAGGACTTGGCACATAGTAGGTTGCTCAGCTGGTATTAGCTTGGCACAGAATAGGTGCTCCAAGCCACTGTGGAATTAATGAGAGGAAGCCTTATAGGCAACTAAAGGCTATTTTGGGTTGTTTTTGCTGTTAGCAAATGAGTTTGCTTCTGCTAAGAATACCCAGAGTTTTCTTTAGGAACCTACTTTCCCCAACTCTCAGGACACGTGGTTTGGGTCACATCCTAACCTTTCATATCATACTCCAGGCACAAAAACCCAGCCCTAGCCATGGTATGGCACCCCCCGAAAAAGGTGTTGGCTTAGGGAAAGATGTGTAACTCCAATGGGGTCATGTCACCCAGTCTCATGGCAAAAACCCCATCTATACCCTAATAGCTTGCATTTGTGTCTGAAGCTCTTTCCTCTCTCTGAACCCCAGTCTGGATACCCAGGTACCTCTTCAACATCACTGCCAGTACAGAAACTACTGGGCATCTCAAAAGCTCTATACCTCAACAAAGGACCTGACTCATGACCCCCGACCCCAACTTTCTCCACAGAATCCTCCCCTTCTTAGTAAATGTCATCTCAGAAGTTTCCCTTGACACCTCCCTTCCCCACTCACCCCACATCCAAATGGTCAACCTGTGTAAATTCAGCCATGTCTCACCACCATTATGTTCCCAGGCACTGGGACCTGGACCACTGCAGCATCTTCCTCACCCATCTCCTGATCTTCGTTCCTGCACCTCATGGTGGTCATTTGTCTGTTTGCCCTTAGATCCACTCCCATATTCCCCAGCACTGCTCTGCCTGCCAAGAAACTGATTTCCCAGGCTCCTCTGTCAGTTGGTTTTGGGGTATATTCAGCCAGTGGAAGCTACCAGCAGAAATGGAGGGTGGCAGGAGGAAAGAAGCCAGGGTATTTTTCCTCTCATGCTCAGCCTGGATCTACCTCTAGATCCGCCTCTGTGGAAGACTTCATCTCCCTCCATAGTCCTGGCTTCCTTCAGGCAGCCCCCTCTGGGGTTCTGGCAACTGCTGGGGGAGCCCAGTCTTGGGCATTGGAATTCCATTATCCATCCTTCCAACCTAAGAATGGTAGCAACTTCCTGCTGTTGCTAATCCCGGGATTGACTCACCAGCCCCTCTGATAGTCCAGCTCCTTCTTTGTATCAAATTCCTCTTGTCTGGAATACGTAGAGTGATTTGTGTTTTGTTGATTGGATCTTGACAAAATAGATCCACTCTCTATGCAGCTGCCCAAAGTCGATCTCTCTAAAGACAAATCGGATCAGGTCACGATCCTGCGCTCATCTCTCCAAGAGCGTCCCATCATCAAAATAGAATCTCATACCTCTGTGCTGAGATTGCCTTCTCCTCACCTTTCTGACCTCACCCGCCTCCTCCTTGCCTCCCATACTTACAGCCATGCAGTTTTTATGTTGGTCCCACATGTCAAACTCCTTTTCCCTTGAGGAAGTTTGCATGTGCTGTTTCTTCCACCCTTCCCCCAGATTTCTTCATGGCTCGCCCTCACCTAATTCAGGTCTCTGCCTTCAGTGACCATCCTTCCTAAAATTGTTCCACTTTCCCATCACTACTTCTTTAACCCTGTTTTATTTTTCTTACTGGCCCTTTTCCTACTTGAAATTGTATTTCATATCTACGCACGTGCTGCTTAGAGCCTGTTTTACTAGAATGCAAGCCCCTTGGTAGCAGGGATCTTATCTGTGCCTTGCTTGTGTCTGTGCCTCACACACACACAGTCTGCACCGGCATGGATCAGGGTGGCAGACAACAGGGCATGGATCTCTGGGTTTAACTCACCTGCTGCTGGAATTTGAAGGGCCCTGGTCCAGGTCTCTGTTATTTGGATGAGACTGGTGCTCAGAGAGGGAAGGCGTGTGTTCTAGATTACCCAGCTGAGTTGTACCTGGAATCTGGGTCACCTGCTTCCTACGCTCTGTCCACAGTCACTACTTCCTGGACCTGACCACAACTTTGATGTGGGTATTTGCCTCTAGGAGGTGAATCTGAGGTCCTGGTTCAGAGGAAGGAGAGGGCATTGGCTTTCCCACTGCCCAGTTAGGCCTGTAGGGCCTAGGGAGGACTCAGCAGGACCAGGTGGGAAAGCAGATGAGAACAAGTGCCTGGGGAAGGCAATAGGCAGGGATGGGGACTATGGTGGGTTGGGGAGTGCATTCTCCCTCAAAAATCGTTCAACTAAATTAACAGTGAAAACATTTTGTAGTTTATCATCTTTTTTTTTTCCCAAAAAGAAATGCAGGGAGGATAAACCAGAAACTACAGTAGGTTGGTGGGCATGGAGCATGGAGTGAGAGGGCTAGGAGAAGAACACTCTTCTGAGCACAGATTTGGACAGACTGGACTTTGGAGGACCATATTAATGGTCTCTGTGTTGCAAAAAATAAAAATAAAGATGAGAAAGCCCCCTAAAAGTGAATATATATAGAAACAAATGAATGTACCTACATTTCAAATGAATAACCACCATGATGAAGAGAAATAAATAACTAATCCAAGTAATATTTGAACCTGTGTTCAAATTGTTGCTTTGACCATTGACCTTCAGTCTAAAGACAAAAAAGTTAGTTTGAATAGGTTTGATAAAATCTTGAACTCTACTTAGCAAGTTTGTTTTTCACAATGGTTATGGGTACAGCAATTCTGAAAATGCTTTTGTGTGGGATTAAGCAAATAAGTAAATTATTTGAGGTTGATGTGAACCAAGGTTCTGACTATAGGGGAAGGGAGTATAATTATAGATTTGGGGAAGAATGGAAGGACACAATGGAATTGGAGAAACAGAGTGAGATATGTTTATTTACATGTACATATTTCTTAGTCCTCTTTGCTACCAGGACTTAAAAGCAATGACACGCAATTTCATAGAGCATACCTCTGCCCAGATCTTGGATTCTCAATATCATCCCCTGCTCTAGGGAACCCCTGTGGAGAAATGGCTGATTCTAGGTTTGTACAAGATGAGCCTGGAACATCTTGTGATAACCAGAACATAGGGAAGTGCTCACAAAATGGTGTAGACACAGAAGTTAGCCTGAAGGACCTTCTGCTGGCCAAAGCAGGGACAATCTGAGGATCAAAACAGTAACCATAATGGATTGGAACCCACTGAATATAATCGGAACCCACAGGTCCATACTGATAATAAGGAAAGAAAGGTGACTGTTATTAATAAATACAGAAGAAATGATGGAATTAGATAAAAATTTGCAACCATCTTAGCAAAAATTCATTAAAATCATCAATTTCAGGTAAAAATCATCACTAAATGTATGTAAAAGCTAGCAGGTGAAAGTTGATAAGGAATGGGACATTTACACCTCAAAATATTTCCCCACAGATTACTGATCAATTACAAATGGGGGAAATGATAACTTCCTAGTGGAACAACCTGGTGGACACAACTTTGAGCAATCAAAGTTACCCAAGGATGGGATATGTCCCCCCTGATATAGTACACGAAGGACATATCATTCACGTGATGTTCCTGCCAAACTGCAATGCCTGACTCTAATTATTGCAAAAATATCAGACAAACGTGAACTGAGAGAGTCTATAAGACAACTGACCTGTACTCTTTAGGAGTGTCAACAGTGTCAAAAGTTATGGAGGGAAAAGAAAAGGCTCAAAAATGGTTTCAGATTAAAGGAAACCAAAGAAAAATGCAGGTATGACCCAGCACTGGATCCTGACCTGCTGTCTAGTGTCTGCTCCCCTCGTTTGTGGACAGAGTAACCTGGGGTGATAATTACCATTCCTTTCATGACAGCAGAGTTGAACCCCTCACAAATATTCTCAACTCATTTATAATAGATAAAGGACACACATGGGTGTTTGGTGGCAAGACACGGGAAATGCTTGATTTGCCTGGCTATGTCTGGACTGAAGAATCACCAGATGGGTCCCCACATGACTAACAGCTCTGGGTGGATGGGAAGGGTCCCTTTCAGAGGCTCAATGATCAGAGGAGGACAGTTGTTGTAAGGACCAACATAGACTGTGACCACAGTGGGTGGGAGTGTGTGTATGACTGTGAGTGTGAATGGTCACTCCCTGGAGTGGGGCTGGAAATGCTGTGCGGTGTGGCGAGTTGCCCTGGAGAGCAAGGAGGCCCGGGCCTGGTGCAGCTATGGCACAGACAAGCAGAGGCCAGGGAGTATGCCAATATAATGTTTAATAAACTTGCCTGTGCATGCCTGACGTGCAGCCTACCTCTCTTGTTTATTCATTTATTTTTTGTCACACATCTTGTGGGATCTTAGTTCTCCAACCAGGGGTCGAACCTGTGCACCCTGCAGTGAAAGCATAGTCTTAACCACTGGACCGCCAGGGAAATTCATCATCTCACCTCTCTTGGATGGACAGTTAGGTCAGAGTAGATGGCCTGGGTGGATGTGGGACCCACCCACTTTCAGTTTGTGCCCCTCTAACTACATAGCCTTGAATAGGCTGCTGCATTCGTGTTGCAGTCCATCACACCTATCACCTTAGGAGGTGAGACTGAGGCCACAGCCATGCCAGAACCAACGGAGAGGGGATCACTGGAACACAGGAGGGAGATGTGAGAGCAGGAAGTGGATATGGGATTGAGGATGATGGTCGAGCTCCTGGCAGGGGGCGGGAGGGTTGGGCGGACAGCTCAGAGGTGAATCTCTAGCAGGTAGCGCAGGCGGCACTGGCTCTCCTGGTAGATGAGATATTCGCTCTGGGAAAAGCTGGGGCTTCTGAACTCTGGGCAGAGCATGGGCGGGCCCTGGGGCACCACTACTCGCTGGCCATCTAGCTCCAGCTCAGTGTCCTGGGTTGGATCTGCAGGGCACAGCAAAGGCCATGGGTGACCCAAGGGCCACTGGTCCTTGGCTTTACCAGTGAGTCCTACCCGCTATGTTCTTCTGTCATAGGGAGTGCCCACTCGTTCCCCCCAGCCAACCTCCAAACTGCTGCACAGGGTGGGCCTTCTGCCTGGAATCTCCTCCCCCATTTCTCTGCCTGGGAAATGCTTGCTCATCTTTCCACGCTCAGTCAATGACACCTTTTCTTTGAAGCCCTCCTGGATGCCCAGGAATGATTTGTTGAATCAGTGAGCGTATGTTGAATGACAAAGTGAAGGACTACGGTGAGGAAGCCGGCTTCTTCTTGTCCTTCACAGTCCCTTTCCTGCTCACCTTCTCCCTGAAAGCATCCTGCTTCATCTCAGCCTCACCTCTATCCTTAGGCCTGTCCAGCTCCCTGAGACTCACCAGGCTCTGTGTGGCCACGGGCAATGACACTGTCAAAGCCAGAGGGTGGCTGCTTCAAGCTGGGCTCGTCGATGGTGATGTGGTACTCTCTGCCCAGTGCCACCTCACCCAGGAACATGTAGCCAATGTGATGGGCCCCGCAGGACATGCCAGTAACTGGGGGACACAGGAAGGCTCAGGGTAGGCAGACTGGCCCTCTGCCTGACTCCCTGGGCCCCTCTCTGCTGCATTGTTATCTCCTTTGGCTTTGCTGCCCAGGCCCAGAAAAGTGGTCATCCTTCTTCCATCCTTCCTCCCACCATTTCTCCAGGCTCCTTGTCCCTTCCTGCCTCTTTTCTCCTCTCAGCTCAGAGGCCAGGCCTCTGCCACCCTCACCAAGGCCAGTAATGGCTTTTCAGTGACCATATCTGGGGCAGAGGCTCTTCTAGCCTGCTCTGCTGATTTTGCCACTGGCCTCCTTCACCCTCTATCCTGGGATCCTCTTGCAAAGATCTCCTGAGGCCGCCCTCCTCTCCTTCTTAGGCTCTTCTGCCCTCCTAGTGGGCTCCCAGGCCTTGAGCAACCTTCAGCCCCATCTGTTCTTAGATGACTCCTCCGACCTTACTCTCCTGAGTGGGGGCAGGTGGTGGTCTCCAATAATGCGGTCAACCTGGACCGAGGAGCCAGTATAGGGAGATCAGCTCAGTGAGGACACCTCTGGACAGAAACTTGGGGGTCATCAGAGACACCCTCCACCCTTTCCCACATGCTGCCCATCCCACCTCTCACATACTCCTCTCCTGGCTTCTCTCCTCCTCCATCCACTGCCCTGGAGTGGGCACCCATCATAGTTGGCCTGGATGGGAACACAGCCTCCCAGCAGCCTCTGACCTTAGCCACCCTCCCTGTGGCTGCAGCCAGGTTCAACTGTACTCCCCATCTTTCTCTGAAGAGGTTCCTTTGATCATCCTGGGCCCCAAGCCCCCCATCCACACCAGGCATTTTCTCTAAGCTTTGTTATCAGGCTGTGCTCAGAGATGCTGACCTGCTGCAGCCTCCCAGCTTTGTGCCACCCTTGGGCTACTTTACCTCAAAGGCTCCTCTTTCACCGACCCCCTCCCCAGGTCAGGTTGGCACCTTCATCCTATTCACATCGTCTCCCCCAGGAAGCCGTCCTGACCACCGGATGCCTCCTGAGTCCCCCAACCGCCAGGATTCCCCACTGAGCTCTCAAGTCAGTAAGCATCCAAGAGATCCTCTCCTGGGTCCACAACCAACTGGACAAGCACTGGGCCCCGTGCTCTTCAGCGTCCCAGGGACACCTCACCATAGCCAGCCGACTTGCGGTTCTCTGAGGCGAAGTAGATGCCCTTGCCAACACGGCCTCCAGAATGTGGCATAATGCGGAGCCCACTGGTGAGGATGGCAGCCACCACGGCCACGTTGGTGCCATGCCACAGTAGCTTCCGATTACCCAGCTTGGCGTGGACCTGGAACCGATCTCCCTGGGATGGGGGGAGGTGGGAAGCAGGAGAGTCATGCCCCCCAAGCTCAGGTGCTCTGTCTGCCATCAAAGGAGATAACCAAGGCCAAGGGCCCCCTAGCCAGTCACATACTCATGCACACATGCACAAGACCTAGGCCTGGTGGAAACTGGTCAGAGTGGCTCAGCCTACTCCCTAAGGAGTGGGTAAGCCAAGGCCATCTCTCTCAGGGAGAAGGTAGTGGTAATGGGGGGACTCTCCCTCACCTCCCCTTCTCGGTCCACTTTCCAAACGTGTTGAAGAGCAGGGGGCCTGCAGCTGTTGCTAGTCTGTTTTAAGTAGGCATGTATCACCTGCAGGGACAGCAGAAGTTGGGTGTCAAGAGCAAGAGACATGTGGACCACCTCCTCTTGTCCCCCAGCCCCAGGGCTCTCCTCAGGGCCTGGAGACACAGCGAGAGAAGGCCCAGGGCGAGGGACCCCTCTGGGCACCTGGAGGGCAGACAGGCAGAGGAACAGTGCCCACTGCTAGCTCGGCTTCTCTGCGGGGCCCAGCCCACCTTGTACTCAGGCATCTCTGGGTCCAGCAGCTGGAGCTGGCACTTGAGGAGCTGGTAATCTCGGTCCAGTGGGTGAGGCACCTCCTCCACTTTCTTTGTCTCCTCGGGGGCTGCCTGCAGGGTCTGTGCCAGCTCGATGTCCGCCAGCACCTAAGGTGATGGGCATTGGCAGCCTGGCTGTCCCCTTGAGCCTCCCTTGCCCTCCCACCTGACTAGGACCATGGCTGCCCCACCTGTGTGTCTTACCTATTCAGCCGCACCCCATCTATCTGCCTAGCCTTCCCCTCCTCTGTCCTTCGGCCTGCTCGTTACACTCCTTCTCTCTGTCCCCCATCTCCCTTGCCCCTTCTGTCTGCTTTGTAACCTGCCAGCCCTCACCAGCAACATGTCCTTCTTGGCCTGTAGAAGCTCAGGGGAGTTGATGGGCGGGGGCCGGCTGCGGCCGAAGTTGTGGGGAATGACGGTATAGAAGTGGGAGGACAGTTCCTCTAGGCTGCGCCCACCGTCTGCGGGGGCTTTCAGGGCTGCCTCCACTGCCTCCAAGGCCTCGAACCCCCGGGCGATCTGCTGCTTGCTCAACTTCCCCAGTGGCATCTTCTTCACATCTGGGGGGATGGGGAGAGTGGGGAGACCGCCTCGCAGCCTTGCCACCCCTAGGCTCCTGCTACCCTGCCTGCCCCCCACTCCTCACCCAGGTTCATGAGGGCCATGGCATTCTGAAACATGTCCTTGCTGAAGATGTTGGTGATGAGCTTCTGTGTGGCTGCATCCAAGGAGCAGGGCCGCACCTGCTGAACCACGGCCCTCACTTGGCCTCCGTCCACCTAGGGGTAGAGGACGCATATGGGCAGAAGCAGCTGGGCTGGGCACCTGCAGCCAGAGCAGGTCGAGGCTAGAGAGCGAGGCCTGTCCTGGGTGCACAGCCAGGCAGTAGTGGTCCCCTCCCTCGGCCCAGGCCCACCCTCCCTCCCTGACCACTTCACCTTCACCATGACTTCCTGGGCCTCGTCCTCTCTCTGCACTTCGATAAGTGTATACTTGCCGGGGTGGGCCACAAAGTGGTCCCGCTCTGCCCAGCTGTTCTTGGTCTTGTCCCGAAATTTCTTCTCAAAGTCCTTCTTTGCATCCTCCAGTGACACGAAGCGGCTGAGCTTGGACTGGCCAGCCTCTCCCTGGAAGCGACAGCCACAGTGCCCGCCATAAATGCTTGCTGGCCTCTTGTGCCAGTCTGTGCCAAGTGCCCCTGGGCATCAAAGGTGGGGCAGGGCCACAGTCAGTGGCTGTGGCCTTTCGGCCTGAGTAAGCTGTGGGGACCCTTGGGGGCAGCAGGCATGCACTGAGCAGGGAGAGGTGGGGAGGAGGTGGGCACAGGATGGGTGGGTGGCACTCACCACGCGTCCCCAGCGGTTCCAGCAGAAGAAGCAGTCACCTTCTTCCAGCAGTTGGATGATGTAGAACTTGTTGTTGTTGTTCCCAATGTTGGTTTGGTTCAGGGTACAGTCGTAGTCTTCATGCACCTGTGGCCAGAGGGGGTGCAGTGCAGGGAGGGCAGGCTGGCTCAGGCCACCCCTGGGGTGCCTGGCTGGACGCTGTCAGGAATCAGACTGCACTGGGGTGTCAGAGGAGGCCCTGTCCGGGAACCCTGCCTTAAATGTGGTAGGGGAAAGCCTGAGAAGCTCAGGGGCTTGCCCTGTGGTCTGAAGAGCAGACATGACCTGCCTGGATCTGATGGGCTATAGCTCTGCCTGACCTCTGGGGTCTCGGGAGAATACAGCTTTCTTGGGAGCCTGGAACCACCTGGCCAGAGCCAAGGGGGTGGGGAGCAGGTCTGAGTGTCCTTATACCCAGGAGGGAGCAGGCATCGGGACTGGCCGGGGACTACAGCTTACCTGGGTTCCAGGGTTGCAGCTGAGTGGACATGAGGGGTCCACTCGGGCTATGCACTTCTCTGTGGGCGCGGCCTTGAGGGCCTCAGCAGTGGAACGGAAACTGTCCTCCTCTTCTGCCACCTGTCGTCCCTTCTTCTCAGGACCCTCATGCTGCACTTGGAGCTTGCGCTTTGGAGCCATGGCTGTTCTGTGGCACAGAGGAGTCCCTCAGACCTCCACGGCCTTTGTACCTGAAACTTTGTACCTGACTGGCACAGCACCAACTTGCACCACCCTGAGTTTGCCTTTGGTAACCTCCCTCTGCCTCCACTTCCCCCCGCCCCTGGTCCCTGACCAAAACCAGATCTCTGCACCCCGGATACACCCCTTTCTCTAGTCACTGGGGCCAGGCCCGGCCTCTGTACAGTCTTCCCAGTTTGCTTAAGGAAGAGGGGCTCTCCACCCTCTCTAGCTCTCCTGTGTGTACAGAGGTGGAAGGGAAAGTGAAAGGAAAATCTCCCCCCTCCCACTTCTGGGCTCCTCCTCGCAGAGCACTCTCTGTCCCTCCCCCCTCTCAGCTGACTTGGACCTGGCATGGCAGCTGGGCTGAGTCACCCCAGCTATGGAGGAGAGTGGGCAGTGGCTCCCGGGGGCAGCACTCCTGAGGCCAGCTCTGTCTCTCCAGAGCTTGGGACCCAGTAGCACAGAAACTTCCCAGCAGACTCAAGACTTCTGGGATGCCAGTCTGGGTCCTAGACCAGTGGCACTGAACTGCCAGAGGGAAAAAGCCAGTCACACCCACCCTGCCCTGCCCTGCCCTGTCGAGGGCTGTGGGCAGGGCCATAGGGCACTCACCTAAGAGAAGCAGGGACCTGGGAGAAGTGGTGGCCCCCCGGTCAGTACCTCCTAGGCAGTCAGTTCTAACAACCCTCTGTAAGTAAGCCTTAGGGGAGCAGGGATGAACTGAGTGTGGGTAGATTTCCAGTTATTTGGTCACCAGTCTGGTGAGTCAGAGGCTGGGCAGGCCGAGGAGGGGCAGCCTGTCCCATGGATGGGTGGACACTCGATCTGGACACAGCCAAAGCCCAGGGGACTGACGCACCCTTAGCGTTGCACATCTCGCCTGAGGCATGCAATACGTGTCCACCGGTTTGTCAAGTGACCTTGGCCGCAGGTGCAGGCATTGCCTTCCTCTCCCAGGGACTGCCTGGCTCCCTCTCCCCCCGTTACTAGGGGGTCAGACTCTCACCCTGGCTCCCGCCCCTGACCGGGAGGAGTCACGGTCCAGGGAAAGGAACCCTGCATCTCTGACGCCCCCCAGCGCCCAAGGGGCGCAAACACAGATAAGGCTTCGGAGTCCGACCCCTCTTCAGACGTCAGTCAGCGGCGGGGCGCATGCGCCACAGTCGTTGGCCGGAAGCCCCGGAAAAAGACTTGCTTCCTTTACCTTCTGAGCCGGGGCTCGGGAGCCTATAGGAGCTTTAGGAGGCGGGGCCACATGCATTTACCCTATGGGCGCTTGGGGGCGAGACAGAACCTATCCAAGGACCCAATAGAGCTGTGGGAGGCGGGACCTACAGGGCGGTGGGAACCTATCCCAGCAGGGAGTCTGGTGGGACTGCCCGGGTTTAGCCGCCACGTGAGTTCTCCGGCGGCGGACTGCAACACGCACCGTGGGCAGCATGTTGGCGACAGGGGCGGCTCGTAAGAGGGGAAAGCCGGCCTCAGGGGCCGGGGCTGGTGCGGGGGCCGGCAAGCGGCGGCGAAAGGTGAGCATGGCTCTTTGGCAGGCGGGGGTCTATCCCGCCTATTGGGACCACCCTAATCCCATCCGGGGGTCCTGGCCCCGGTCCCCTCACCCCCGGGACCCGGTTTGGAGTCAGCTTCGTCCCTTTCTCCGTACGTCAAATCCTGAAAAGCCTTTCACTTGAGCCAGAGGCCACCGCCTTTCCCAGTGGCTTTCGAGGGACCCTAAGGGACTCTTGGTCAGAGCCCGAGTGGTCGGGACCCCTGACCAAAAACGTATTATATAATTGCCAGGGCGACTCCTTTGGGGACAAGGGCAAGTCCAAGGGTGGCGGCAAGATGAATGAGGAGATCTCGAGCGACTCGGAAAGTGAGAGGTGAGCTCTTTTTATCCACCTAGTGGAAAGGAACCCTGGGACCCATGATGTATGGAAGGAATCCTCAGTTGAAGGGGTGCTAGAACTGGGCCAGAACCCAGGATCTCAGGTCTTGACTCTTTCCTCCACTTTCTGACCCTGAGAACTGTCATTTCCTTCTCTGCAGGGTCTCTGTGTGGGGAGGACCCCCAGTCCCAATGGGAGACCTGCTGAACTTTCCTGGCTCGTGACAGGGAGCTGAACTCCAGGCAAGGGGAGGATATAAGAAATGCTTGCTAGTTTTTCACAATTTCAGTTACTGAGAGTGCCAGGCACTAGTTTCATTGTTTTGAGAACAGAGATGAGCAGGCAGGTCAAGACAGTGTGTTGTGATGGGAAGCGTATCTTAGAGCTGTGTGTTGTGGGAACAGAGAAGGGGAGTTTAAATAAGGCTTGGAGAGATCAGGAGGGCTTCCTTATGGAGAGGTAGGGAAGGCATTCAGGGATCAGAGAAAAGTCTAGGGGTTAAGTGGGCTAAATGGAAGATGGAGAGGGTGGAAGGGCAGGTGGTGCATGCATCCAGATTGTGAAGGGCTTTGTGTGCTTCCTTCATTCTGCAGGTGGTGGGGGTGAAACATACTGCAGAGTTGAAAGGGGGCTAGCAAGGTGTCAGGCCTGACCTTGTGGAATGGAAGCTGTCACACCAGGAAATCCCGGTGCCTTCCTTAATAGTTGGCTTTAAGAGGACTTCCCCGGTGGTCCAGTGGCTAAGAAACCACCTGCCAATATGGGTTCAATCCCTGGTCTGGGAAGATTCCACATGCCACAGGGCAACTAAGACTGTGTGCCACATCTACTGAGCCCACACAACCTAGAGCCTGTGCTCTTCAGAGAAGTCACCACAGTGAGAAGCTCATGCAGCACAACTAGAGAATAGTCCCCACTTGTCACACCTAGAAGAAGCTCACGCACAGCAACAAAGACCTACTGCAACCAAAAAATAAATAAATTGAAATGTTAAATTATTATTTTTTTTAAGTTGGCTTTAGAAATTCTGCCTCTCAATATTGAGTACATGTTAACCTGCTCGCAGGAGTTTCTTTACTTTTTGTGGTCCTGAGGTTATCGCGGGTGTGTGCCAGGCCCCATGTGAAGCACTTATAAATGTTTTCAAAATGTGTTGTGAAATTTATTAGCTACAGAAGAGTTCATGAAATGTAATTGTACCATAGACAGTAATGATGAAATGATGGACCTCTGTACACCCACCAGAACTAGACCTGTGCAGAAACGTAGAAGACCCAACTGCCATTCCTGACCTGAGTTAATAATTTCTTTGGTTTCCTTCTTTTTTCTTTATCTCCTTTTTTTTTTTTTCTTTTCTGATTCAGATGTAATTTACATACAATGATATTTGTTTCTTAGTGTACCTTTCTGTGAGTTGTAACAGACTCATATAAACTGCCACCACTATGAAGACATAGAAGGGTTTTACCACCCTCCAAAATTCCCCCTGGCTCCTTTGTAGTCAGTTCCTCTCTCTCTCTCCCCTCTGGTAACCACTGTCCCTAGAATTTTACCTTTTCCAGAACGTTATATGAGTGGAATTATAATGGTGTATGCCTCTCTTGGTTTCCTTTGGAGTTCTGTCTCCTATGTGCGAACCCTAAAGAAAGATTTATTCCTTTGGATAAACTGAGTATATGTGTAGACCTCGGTCGTATGAGAGAAGGGCAGCACCAACTCTGTCGGCTGAAGACTTGCTGGGCGCTGGGTACTAACTGGTCTCAAGAGCATGAGGCATTGGCTTCCTTGAGAATTTCCAATGTCCCTTCTGGGGAAGCTGTGGGCAAGGTCATGGGGGACGAGTCTTGGAAACGGTCAGGGTACCTGACAGGGACTAGATATCTGCAGGCAGATGATCAGAGGAAACAGGCGGCCCTGGGTTTTCTGCTTCTGAGTTCCCATGACTTACCTCCAGCTCCAAGGAGCAAGTCAGCATAGGACTCATCTTAAGTCAGGGGTGTGGAGGGGAAATCAAGATCTCAAGATCAAGCCAGACCCAGTCAAGCTTCAGCTGGAATCCCATCCTTGGGGTAGAGGATGGTGCTTCAGCAGTGAGGATGGGGTGATGATAGTCCCAATATGTCTGCCTCTTGGTTCCTCATGTCAGATCTGGGTTGGCGGCTCCCTTGTGTCTGGGGGTGGTTCTTGTTTTGAGATCTACCTGCTTTCCACTTTGGATCTTCTGTTTCATGTCTCCCATGCCTGGCTCAGACAGTAAAGAATCAGCCTGTAATGCAGAAGACCTAGGTTCTATCCCTGGGTCGGAAAGCTCCCCTGGAGAAGGGAATGGCAGCCCACTCTCAGTATTCACAGAGGATTCTGTGAACAGAGGAGCCTGGTGGGCTACAGTCCATGAGGTTGCAAAGAGTCAAACATGACTGAGCAGCTAACACTTTCACACCTTCCCCATTCTTAGGTCACTCTTCTCGTTAGGGAAGCACATCCTCCATCCTTAAAAGGAGGAGGAGGGACCAATTCTCTGGCACCTTGTACACCTGAAAATATCTTCGTTCATCACTGATGGTTTAATTTGGCATGCCGTTCCAGTGGTTAGCATTTTACTCCAAATCTTGTGTGTGCAGCTCCTTTGTTTCCTGCTCTCAGGGCTGGTGTTGAGGGATGTCTGGAGTCATTTTGATTCTTGACCCTTTGAACATGATCTGATTTTTCTTGGACCTATAGAACCTTCTCTTTCCCTCTGGAGTTGAGAGATTTCACAGTTGTGTCTTTGGGTTTGGGGTCTATTTTCACCCTTATGTTGGTCCTTGGATGGAGCCTTTCAGTTTGGTAAGTCACATATTTTTTCAGTTTTCTGTGTGCGTGCTCACTGGCCATGAGGGCTGGCAGGGATGGAGGTGGTCAAGTGGCAGGGAAAGCAGTGAGGAGGCAGAGTCCTAGTGGCCAGAGGAGCAGGCCGAACCTCCTCAAACCCAGCCCGCTCCTGCCCACAGTCTAGCTCCCAGGAGGACTGAGGAGGAGGAGGAAGAGGAGCTGGAGGAGACCGCACAGGAGAAGAAGCTGCGCTTGGCCAAGGTCTACC